CGCCATCGAGAAACTGACCATTTATAACGGTTACACCTAACTCCACTTTCTTTATTATTTTTCTAACCCCCACACACTCTCTCTTTCTCTTTCTCTCTCTGTCTTTTTTTCTTTTTGTTTTTTTTTTTTTTTGTAATTATTATATCGCTCGTATATAACACCAAAATTTCCAACGAATTGCGTCGATAAATGCTATCGCATATGCGTAATAAAATTTTGTTCCTTTATTTGATTTTTGTTTTTGTTATTGTTGTATGTTTTCTTGCTTACAATGAATAATAATAATAATAATAATAATAATAATAATAATAATACGTCACTCCGGGACGAGATTTTATTATTCAAAAGCGAATATGATTAAACAAATTATCGTCTCGGTCGAAACGGTAATGTTCGTGTAAACTTCAATTTCGAGTGTTGAACGTAAAAATAAGTGCAAACGTCAAGACGATAATACCATTCGTTCGCGCTTTTACATAAATCAACGAACGGTTTATTCTACCGTTGCACAACGAATGTTTGCGCGGAAAACCGACGGTAATAACTTTGAAATCGTGTTACTTTTTTCCCTCTCTCTCTCCCTCTCTCTCTCCCTTTCTCTCTCACTCTCTCACTCTCTCTCGTCGATTTGTTTTTTATTTTTTCTTTTTTACTATTTGCCCGTCAGTAACCATTATCGCGTTAACGTAACTCGTGTTGAAACGCTTCGTTATCGTGAATGAAAAAGAAAAAGAAAAATATATATATATATATATATAAAAAATAAGAAGAGAGAGAGAGGAAAGAAAGTGGAAAGGAATAAAAAAAAAAGAAAAAGAAAAAAGAAACGAGATAGATTCAAATAAGGAAAAAAGTCGAAGAAAATCCGAAAAATGAACTTTAATCGACTAAAGAAAGAAAGAAAGAGAGAGAGAGAGAGAGAGAGATATTATGCAAATAAGAAAATAAATGAGAGAAAGAGAAATCAATGAGCTATCATTTCGATTGTACGATTTTCGTGAACATTATCGAACTGGTTTGATACTAATCAACGACGTCAATGTAATATGTTTACGTATGATATTAAATTATCGAATTGCAAATTGACTTTTCGAAAGTGACGTATTTATTTAAATATATACTAACGTGTATCCACGTGTCTGTGAAAATCGTGTGTATTTCAATAACTTCGTATTGTCCTTACACAAATACGTGATTAATGTTAGTGTGATACAGGTAAGTGATAGTAGTAGTATAATATAAATCCATTCGTATACAATACAAGTGAAAATGAATATTTTATTTTGCATTCTCAATTTCGCGTTTGTCGTCGTGTATAAAAACGTCGAGTAGAAAAGTGAAACGAAATAATAGCTGAAATCTCTCTATTTATCTATTTCTCTCTCTCTCTCTCTCTCTCTCTCTCTCTTTCGTTAATTTTGCGTTGAAGGGAACACACAGTCGGCAAAAATGTTATCGCGGTTTTGGCGTCACGCGATGACATTTCACAAACGTTTTTTTTATATCGTGTACACCATACTTTCGCGAAACCCAAAGGGAACGGACAAATTATAATCACGAAAGACTAGAAAATACATAAAGAAAATAAATAGAAAAAGGGGAGAGAGAGAGAGAGAGAAGAATAATAAGAAGAAAAAATAGGGAATAAATAAGGTGGTTGTTGATTCGTCGTGTTTTCCCTTGTTCGGGGAAAATTTTTCGGCTAAAATTTTCCCATAAAGTATGTGTGCTCGTGTGTGTGTGTGTACGTTCATCATCGGTGAATTTACCGAATCGAATAGGACGTTCATTCTTTTTTTTTTCGATCGATGTCATATTTTCTTTCTCACTCGTTCTCATTTTTTCTTTCACTCTCTCTCTCTCTTTTTGGTTCAACCCAAAAGCTTTGGGAAGACTAACGTTCGTGCAAATAAAATTGTTTGCGCTTGGGTTGTACACGAATGGAATCGACGACACATGGGGTGAAGGGAGAGGGAAAGGGGAATAGGGGGTAGGTGGGGCCGCTTAATACGACGATAATCATCTCTAGGCAGCCCTCAACATTTTTCGGCAGTTAAGTGTCGAAAAATGTCACACCACCGTTGCTGTTTACTTTAGGCGAACTAAATAATGGATATTTACACGACGAATTTCATCAAAAGTTACATTTATAGATCGATAAACGATCGATAAACGATCGATCGATCGAAAAAAAACAAAACAAAATCCATGGGTCGATTGGAAAAGGGAAGAAAACCCTTTTTTTTTTTTTTTTTTTTTTGTTATATTTTGGAAAAAATGTTCGGTTGAAATATCGGCGGATCCATTTGGTTGGTAGTGCACTTCTTTCTCCATTTCTTTTTCCCTTTATAGAGAGATAATGACGTTGCAATGGAAGTGACTCGGTCGAGAAGAAAGGAAAAGAGCGCAAAAAGAAGAAAAAAAAAGCAAGCAGAAGAAGAGAAATGAAAAAAAGAAAAAAGAATTAAACGTGTCTCGTTTCGCGAATTGTACTAGAGAATATTTGAAACCGAGAGAAAGAGACAATCTTCCGCGTTGTTCGCAAAGACTAGTAGAAAGATCGTCGAAACACTTGGTTGTCGAATAGAGGAAAACACAACAACGACAAAAAGAAGAAAAAAAAGAAACAAAAAAGGAAATGACGAAAAGAGAATATACGCAACGTACATAAATACACACACACACACATATATATATATATTTCGTACACGAATGTGAAAACATACTGTACGAGTAAAAAGCGGAACGATTCACAAAACGCAACTCACTTTATACGTTTTCAGAGTTGACAACGCTCGTTGTACAGACAACAACACGACGACAACGACAGTATACAGTATACAGTATACAGTTGGGAAAATAGGAATATAAGGGTGGTGAATATAGCAAAAGGGGGAGTCGAAGAAAAGGTTAGGAAATGGAGATGGAAGAAAGGTGAAAGAGGAAGAAGAAAGAGAAGGAGGAGGAGGAGGATGAGGATGAGGAAATGCATAAGGTGAAAACACAGTAGCGGCAGACAAATGTCGATTGCAAGCAACAAGTGTCGTCGTCGAGGGGGTGACTACTTCTGACAATGAGTACAAAATCTAGCTGACTCGAATACGTGAGTAAGTAGGTCTACGAAGGAGGCGGCACGCGTCCTCTTCTAACAGAAAGCACAATCACTGTGCTACGACCACCACCACCACCATCACCATCAACACCACCACCACCACCACCATCAGCAACGATACCAGCATCGCCATCATCGTTGCAACCACTGCCAACACTACTAGCAAACCCTCGCGCAATTAGCGATTACGCTAATTCGGCTCGTATTTCATTCACAAATTTACCTACTCTCTCTCTCTCTCTCTCTCTTATTCTCTCTTTCTTTTAAATGAGCTTGTTACTCGGTTTCGTGTTACACCGACACGTTCCGTGTTAAACGCGCACATTCCTATTTTTTTTTTTTTTGTGTTCTTTTCTTCTCTTATTCAAATCTACAACACTTTGACGAACTAATAATAATATGAATATATACACGCGTGTGTCGTATATATATATACGTATATGCAGATACCCGTTTTCTGTTTAACGTGCTTGCATAAAAATATCGCGCCGACACGCGAACGTACGATGCAATTACGCGAGCTTTATACTCTTCTCTCTCTCTCTCTCTCTCTCTTTTTTTTTATTTACACTTTTTCATTTTTTTTTTTAAATTAATATCACCGTTTCAGCGTCACGCTTTACACGCGCAATCTCTCTTTTACTCTCTCTCTCTCTCTCTCTCTCTCTCTCTCTCTCTCTCTTTTTGTTTTACTCATTTTCTCATTTCATCCTCTTCTTCTCTTTTTGAAACGCGCGCGCGTGTTTGTACGCGACTCTCTCTCTCTCTCTCTTTTTCTCTGAAATACAAGCAACGAGAAAGCGTCAAGGGAGGAATTATTTATGGTCGAGTTTCGTAGTTATAAATAAAGCATTTAACTCGCGTTTAATGAAATTTATGGCGAGAGCGTAGGAAATCGCGATGGCGCGAGCCAACCGATGACAAGCACGGTCTGTCGCCTCCTTTCCCCCCCCCCCAAAACTAACATATCGATGATAAACTAACATATCGATAACGATCTGTCATTGAGTTTCGAAACAAAACGCAAAAATTTTTACCGCAAAATTCCCGTTCCTTCATTTCTATTTTATTTGTCAAGAATTATGGGTGTGGGAGGGGAGGGGACATTAAGAAACATATATTTATATATATATATATATTTTTAATTAATTATATTAATATATAATATA